AAAGACGAAAGTAGATCACGCTCGCACATCTGTTGCACGGGAGCGGGTATGTCAGCAAGCGAAAAGCAAGACCGAGCGCGCGCGGGCGCGTGGCGCGGCCATGCCAGAATGACTGGCCAGCGGCAAAAGCAGCAACCCTTTGTTAATCGATCCTCGCTGCGTTTTGCAGCCAAGCATTGGGAGATTAACTTCGATAATGTACACCTCATCAAAGAGTGCAACGTTCCAGTTTCAGAGTACTGTGTCAGATGTATGGTCGTGGCGAGGCGGCAGAAACTGGGCCGCATCTCGTCGAGTTGTAACCATGACTAGCAACGGGTACACACTGCAGGCGTACTTGTATTCATCCCGAGTCCTGAAGATTCCGTCCATTAACGGCGACTTTTAGCGCGGCTCCGTCAAAGACTGGAGGTGTTTGGGAGTTCAACGGAACTCCCAGGAAAGCGATTCTTCGTTGCCTCTGCTAGATGTTACGCGAGTTTTGATGTGCGGCTCTGCCGAATACGTTCCTTGGAGACTAGATTGGAGCTCCCAGAAAAGCACGTCGTCATTAGTGCCTTTGCGAAGCCCCCAATGATGGGTCTTCGAGTCGCGCAATCTCAAGCAGATGCTGTAACAACAGCACGGATCCTGCATGCCGACGACAGCCGGATAAGAGTAGAAGATTCGCATGCGCATGCATGCATGCACCAGAAAGAGGAAGCAATATTACCTAGCCGGAATAATGAAACCAGTAGACACACAAGAGCTGGATCCAGATCGTTCAATGCTGAGCAAAGCGGGAGGTTCCAAACGGCTCCCTTTCTTTGTGGCTCGCTTTCAACCAGCTGCAAGACCTAGATGCACGACTTTCAAAACGAATACTGGCAGATCAGAAGGATGCCGGGCCGGGACGAGAAGGGGCCGGGACGAGAAGTTGTCCGGCGCTCAAATCTGTGTACGTCTGCTAGCATCCATGGATCAGCTCGTGTCAACGAAAGCGTCATGACCAGAAAGTACAGTACTTGACTCCATTTCTGGAGTTAAAATCATGCCTTGAAGCCCAGTTCATATACAGATTGGTCATGCAGGATAGAAGCCGCTGGGAAAGCTGATCTCTCGTCTTTTACACATATTCCAACTCTTACCAGCGCGCGTTTCAGATGCTCATGACAGCATGATTCGGATGTTGGGCTGACACGCCGCAATACTAGTGTTGATGAAAAAAGCTAGGGACGCTCTGATTACATTCGGAAGAGCCACAGGAGACGGATTCAATGTGCAAGTCGTGTACTCTTGGACTGCTTCTGAAGTCTTAGTCCAGCGTCCGCTGTGACCTTGTTGAAAGGCCAGGGTTACTATTGTCGTCCTAGCAGATCTCCTATCACATAACATCCTCGATCAAAGCACTTGAAAACCAGATAATGGACGCAGAGGAACGTTAAGATGCTGTTGAAGAAATCCGTTTTTTGCATCGACTCCGAGGATCATTCACCTTTGAAAGAGAACGGGCACCACGACCGTGCCTGTATTCAAGCACCCCGGAGCACCCGGCGCAGCCGATGCATATTTGATTCCGGCCCCAATCCTCTGCTGGCTCTGCTTGGCCTTCAAATCCCCCAATGGTTGAACTTCAGAGCCACAGACGGCTTCGTCATAGCCAGCTGCATTCCCCCTGCTCTCGAAGATTGGACGAAGCAACAGTAAACGGTAATATCGTCGTCGGGCAGATTCTACTAAACACATCATGTTCTGCCCGGTTCCGGATGAGCGCGAAGTCTTGACAAAACATTTGCATCCAAAGCTTGTCACGGGCAAGGGTCCATTAGAGGACTCCGGGTAACATGGTTCTTGACGACTGCCAGATGCATGAAGCTGTGGGCATTACTTACACAAAAGAAGGGGCCAAGCAGAAACTTCCATCATAACAAATCTGCAAGTGATCCGTTCCTTTTCGAATGCGAAAGGAGGGTGCAGCAGCCCACGAAACGATTACGCTGCTTTCAGCATGCACACTTCAATCCTAGTCACGGTGCATTGTCAGCGTTCCTCCAAAGCACCTTCATTTCTGCACGCGTTTCCTTTGCGTTAAGCAGAAGAATGCAACCGAAGCTCTCGTAAGTTCCTCCTTCGAATTCAGAATGATTCTTAGGAGGAAACCGGAAGGATCGTGTCCACTTCCGGAGGCAACTTCACCTTTGTATAAAGGCTTAGGAAGTATGCCTTGAAGTTGAGGTCAGTCGATTTGAGAAGGTTCGGGATGTAGAAGAGCCCTCAAAAGATGCCCGGCTTCTGTAGACCGAGGATAAGGAAAGTGGGTCCCAAAGGCCCAGTTCGAGGAACGTCATTGCCAGCCTTGCCTTGATATGTACGTGCACTGTAAGAGCAACTCCCTAGCAGCCCCACCCAAAGAAGAAGCGAGAGCCGTTATGCAAAACCTCCACCTCTGAGACACTGTGACGATTCTAACGGGTGTTTGAAGTTATGCAGCCACGTTATGATCCATATATTGCACTGGCTTCAGAGAGCTACCGGTGAGATGCTTGGCTATGCCGCCATGACACGTAGGTATCATTGCCGCCATTGTTTCCAGATCGCTGAGCTTCAAAGCAAATAGCATACCTAGCAGGGAAAGAATTCAAGCAAGCCCAACGAGGGCTCGACGGCCTTGCGAAGGCTGACGGCGGTCGACAACGCCTTCTGTGGAAAAATTGAACCACTCCTTTCTCGCAGCCTCTAGTATGTAAACAAAGTACCGTTTGCCAGAAAGATGGGGAGCTTTAGGGATGTCGAGCGAGCGGAGGCTTCAACCCGAGACCAGAATGTACCAAATCGAGGCCACAGAATGATTAGAATAAGCAGGTCGTAATGTATTGTGCAGACGACTAATCCGCGACTGTTCCTTGACCCTCAAACGAAGAAGAAAACGACAAACTGTTCAACCCAGCCCAAGGCACTCAGCTGCAGATCGCTGCCATTGACCAGTCAGAATGAACGCGAAGTAGCAATAGAATTGATTGACGAAGATGAGCACCTGTCATGCTCACTTTGAGCTCGAGAACTAGGAAATGGCTTTCTATTCCAGAGCCAGAAGTTGGAAGGATTGGCAAGGCGCGGGGAAGCCTACTAGTCGAAGGCTACCGCTGCCAAAGGTCTTCAAGAGCTTTGGATCGCTACAATCAAACATCAAAAGAAGGTACCTACAGCTCTGAAAAGCTTGCTAAATACTATGCAAAAGTAAAATCAACCGGTGCCAACTGATCAGGGCCGCAGAACCATCGCGGGACTCGGATAAGATCTGAAACGTACAAGCACAACGTTAATAAACCCCTGCCAGCCCTTACCCGTTGTGATGTTTGCATGTTTCAAGAAACCGGCCTTCAAGTCGGGCGAAATCTTGTGCTAACTCATAATCGAACGAGCAATTGAACAATCGAAGGAATTGCATGCCCTCAAGCAGAGTATCGTGATGGCACTGGATCGAAGCGGGATGAAACGTCAGGGCCCCGCAGGAATCCAACCTCGCTGGGTAGCCTGGTTCGCCCTGATCAGGTCTTATGTATGACAAGCCCGACAAGACATCCTTCCTCATTATATTGCACGATACCACGTGTATAAAGGGCTCTGCTTGCTCCACCCTAGGAAAACCCTCTTTGGCAAGGCGCCAGAGTCTGCGGTGTCATTGCCTCATGATCAGCTCTTGCAAAGATATACTTCTGAGCGACCAGAGGCGGCAGATTATAAAGCGGGCCTGCGAAACTGACGGCTTACTCGGTCTTAACTTCGATGATGGACTAAGATGTATACGTGGCTCAACCGCGACCGCATGTTCCTTAAGCTCGTCCGCAGACTGAAGGCGATGGAAGTCTAATTTGTTTGCGCAACCAGTAAGGCAGATGTTTCAATTCGAGCGCCGCTTTGCTTATACAGATCGTTGAAAGACCTGGGCCTGTCTTTTCCAACGAGAGCTGCCGTGCAACGCACTTTAAAGCAAGCGTTGGCGCTTTTTGTGTGCTTCAACCTTTGGTCAAATTCTGACGCGATTGAATCGGCAAATGCACGTATCACATTGACTTTCAAGATGAACAAGAACCACTAAATATAGCTTACAAATTCTTCACCAGTTTCTCAGACCAGAATAGAAACGTTGACATTCATATCATCGATAGTTGGTTCGAGTTTCGTCAAAACGCGATTGAAAGCAAGTGAAAATATTATTCGATTACTGGAAACGGCAACACAATGGAGGACTCTCAACAGGCTTCGCCGCGATCATTATCCACGGAAAACACGACATGGAACGCATGATTAAGTTTCTCGCACCATGTCCGATCAATTGAGGCTATGACCGAGCCTCAGCTCCTCAAGAACACGCATCGCACACTGACAAGCTGACCAGAGAACAATCTCATAACTTTATCATCCACGGGCGATCTGACCACGACGAAGTCGTAGGCCTTGGCCTCGGATTGAAAAAGACCGCGTGGGATGGCGTCGTCGTTACGCACCACTGCTGGCAATGATCGAAACCAGAGACACACGACCAAAGTCCAGAGAAGGCGGACTTCAAACGATGGTCGAGGCAGCAGCTCACAGAAACACGTAAATGAAAGTAGCCCTCCGCGCTCATCACGAGAGTCGATTGGATGAAGTTGAGCTAGGGTTAATGCAAGATATGGAAGATTGTCCGATCGTGAGCACTGCTCAACTCGACAGTCAGAAAACCAAGGCGGTAGCACAGAAGTCAAACGGCAACCGCAAGGATCCAATCAAATACGACCCATCTTCCAACAGCAATCGCTCCTTCAGGCCTGCATGCAGCTTAAATCACCACGCCGAGTCGGCACCAACAGTAAATCCCAGATTGAGCAAACGCCCAAACATTGTTGAGTCCAAACTTCAGGGCCACCCGCAATACGAAGTCGAATGCCGTTCCAAAATACTGGGCAACTATATTGCCCTGTCACACCAGAGAGCAGAAATATCGCAATGATTCCGGCTTCTGCGGCTATACGACTTTTCCGACAGATTGATTTCACCTGGTGAAGTACCAATAGCAAGTGACGAGCCAACCTGGTGAACAATAGATTGAAGGCGCACCCCTAAAGAAGAAGCAATCGATTCAGCAGTGATATGACTGGCCTGTGTCACTCCAAGCAAAGAGTACGTCACGGAGTTATCGAACGTCGGAGCCCTTGCTATGTGACCATCTTATCTACTTTCTCGTTCTCGTTTGTGTCACCATCTGGCAGCTTCTCCCGGCTAGCCTCTTGCTTTAGGTGGCCGCGAGAGCTTCTGAGCTTTTGTCTCAAAACTTCGTATCGCCTCTCGTCTACGGCTGACACCGAAGCGGAGAGTTTAGCCAGGGCCGTCTCAAAATGCTTGGCGTGCACGAGCGGGGGGCCCACGGCTGGGGCGGAAACAGCCCCCCGCGGCGAAAGGAGGGAAGCGGTGGCCTCTTTGATGGCGGCGATGCAAGCCTCGCGCACCTGCGAAAGAGGGTACAATCAGTCAACTTCACTGGTCCAAACTGCAGCGTAACAGTCGGACTTTGTCGTGCCACTCGCAGGATCCACTTTTGATAGAGTGCGCCAGAGTATACGATGAAAGAAACAAAGAGCTTTGAGGAAGTACGGGAATGAATGTGAAAACCGGTCAGCCCACAAACAACCTGGTGAAATGAAGATGGCTTCCTCGAATGAGCTCATGCGGCAGCACATGATGAAGCAATCTTAGAAACGGGACTGAGCGTCGAGAATATCCTCGGCCAATAAACCGGATAAGAAACGCATGATTGATTGCTCTACTTCAATCAACGTGCTGCTTTTCCCACATTCGATTCCGTTAACTAGCACTTTCGGTTCCATTACCTAGCAAGTCGACCCCGGACACCTTACTCATCCAGACAAAAGCAAGCGCGCAACAAACATAACGACCGTGAAGAAGACTGACTTGGAAGTAAAGGAAACAAAGAGAAAAGCTGCCGTCCTTTGATTACTCACCAGCGCGGCGAGGTCGGCCCCGCTGAAGCCCCTGCACGCGTCGCTCTCCCCAACGGGCGCCACGTCCAGGCCGGGCGCCAGGGGGGTCTTCCTCGTGAGTGTCCTCAGTATCTGCGCGCGCCCCCCTGGAGTGGGGAGCGGCACGTACAGCAGCTTGTCCAGGCGACCGGGGCGGAGTAGCGCGGGGTCGATCATGTCGGGCCTGCACGAGATAAAAGGAGCTGGGTTAATATAACCAAGCTGCGAAATGATTCATTGCGGGGCTTCTGCATGTAAACCACGAGTTAGGGTGAGCTGATGAAGCTTGACAACTTCGGTGTCAGGCCCGCGTGGGCTCAAGAACCAAATCAGGGAAAGATAATGGTTGTTATGTCGGGCCTGGCGGCCAAATAAGCGAGCGGGTTAAGAAAGCTCAACTGTGATTTGAGGCGGTCACATCTGCCTGTGCGAAATTAGCAGGCGGAGCTCCAAGAGTTGGTCAAGCCTTTTTCAAGCTCTTGCGCCACTAACCAAAAGGAACCGCAAGCATGCCATATACATCGCGGAAAGGGGTAGCGACTCAAACTCTTCTCAAACGAAACAGCAGTTCTGTCAATTAATCAGCTCGTTCAAGCGGTCACGAAGAGCGTCTGTGCGTTTTGTGCATAAGTCTACTGGCGTCAACTGACCATGTTCTTAGAGATACTAAGGTGTACCGAGTGGATCAGAGCTGCCGGACGTTGTTACCTACGCGTGCTTGACGCGACGGAAGCAAAACTTCAGCTCTTATCATATCCAGGTTCTCGAAGTAACACTACACTTCCAATGCAACTTGACATCCAACAAAAGACTAAAGGGGCAAACAGCGATCCAATGAGATAGGTGGACAGTACCGTATGAAAACCGGTGCACAGTGCTCGTCGCAAGTGCAGTACAAAGAAGCCGTTTTTAGGAGTCGTGCTCGAGTCTCCGTTTTACCACACGAAAGAAAGCATGGACGCAGAACCAGAATGTCACACTACAGTCGATGCCATAGACGCCCCTTTTGACCTTGAGGTTGAACGGAGTACTGGTAGCAGCCTCATGACGAAGTATAGTACAACTAGATCATCGAACCTTCGATAACCTTTAGGCGATCAGGGGAAAGGGCTTTCGAAGACATGTCACTGACGAACGAAGTGCGCAAACTTGTCCTTTTTGATCCGCCAGCAGCCACTGACCGTTGACTATTGGGTCAAGCAGCGCAGCCGCTGAGAGTTTGCTGACCTCATGTTGAAACGAGTCTTACGGCCGGCACCACTACCATACCACCACAACTACGGGGTACCGTACACTAGGGCGTACACGGAATCCAGTGTATTGAACCTTTTCCAGTCAATAAAGAAAAAACTAACAGGCAAAAGGAGAAAGTGGCAGGAAAGGGGAATCAGGTGAAGCAGTTCTGTCATCAGCAAAATGACAACAGTCGATTCACGGGCCCGCATAGAGACGGCAAAGGGCATACATGAAAAGCCTACTACAAACGATCAGCCGCCCCTGCCCCAGGGAGGCGGCTTATGCACAGCGCTTATTCGCACAGCAACGGATCAAGCGATACCGAGCAGTTAGCGTTGAGCAGCAGGGCTCAGACGGTGGCTTCCATCCGATCAGTAAATCCTGATTCCATCCCTAAGGTTTTCGGCATTTTCACACCAGCTGGCGAGCAGGTGGGCTGCTTCGTAAAACTGTGCGAGGAACGAGCGCACTCTTGTCTTCGACTCAAGTGTTCTGAAGTATAACGGAGTATCTATCTGTTTGTTGCAGAATCGGAACGGATCAACAACCGAGCTGTGAAAAACTGCCTGAGATAAGGCAGACCGCTGGTTTTCGTCATGTCCTTTGTCACCCATTAATAACAGGCTAATTTCTCAGAGCTAGCTTCAACGGAACCGTGATTATCTCAAGCATGGAGGTTGAAAGCGCAAGGTGTGACTGCACCGTTCGTTTCCACCGTGTCCAGATTCACAGAGCACTCCAGCGAGCTTTTTAAAACACTGCCGTGCACTTTTGGAGCGCAAATCAGGGCGCGATAAGAATATTCTTAGAAGTTCAAGGGGACTCTACCACCAGCAGTACCAAGAGCCGCAGGAATGACTTCGGCTATACAATCAGACATGCATGTGTCTCACAAGACACCAAAAATGGAGCCTAGAAACGAATACATACAGTCTTTGGATGGTCAGACAATGAAAACCTTCCTTCCGAAGAGAAGGGAGAACTTAGAAAAGGGCCCTGCCAAGGCACAGCTCCAGATCAGGGATGCAAAGCAAGGAATGAAGTTGAGAAGACTGTTGGACAATTCCATGAGGCTCAAACCACGACCAAGATCCGCTGCCAGACCGTTTCGAAAGGCCGGGGCAGACAATAAGTGGCTTACTCTTAGTATTAACCAAAGGCTAAAATACAAGCAACTTATCATGACACGAGGAGCGGCTAACAGCTCCACTTCGAGTCGCCAAACGACTTCTGAGCAAGAGGAACAATCTTTGGACTAGACAATATTAGCTAGTCCGTTCGACTTGGTCAAGCTCTTTAACACACGGTCAAATAATGCGCGTGAACAGAGTAACTCGACAAAAAAACAAGGATGCTGCTTTGGAGCAGGAGCATTCGTGGGCGGGTTAAGTGGACTGACGCAGGTACTCCAAAGAACGTATCTGAAAAGCAACCTCGAGCAGGCAGGCACACAAAGGTTGGACCTGGAGGGATTCAAGGTCTGAAGTCAAGCAAGTGGCACAACCGCAGGACCTTAACGCGCATCTTTGAACTGGCATCCCACAGTTGCGCAGAGACGCTACTGAAACGGAGTCGAGTCAACGATTTCTGAAACATTACTGAGGGGCAAAGCTCAAGCAGCGACTTCTGATCATGTCGCAAGGATATTTAACAGACCGTGTAAGAGGCACCGTTGATCCACCAAGCAGCAGGATCGCACACAACGACCATGCGGCCTGGAAATATACTGTGGACAAAACAGAGGCAGAACTCGACTGCCAAACGTTAAGACTCCTCTAGGATGCTCAACAGACTCGGTATACGCAGCAGCCACGGTGAAAAGGAGCGGCAAAATTCAGGGGCTGACGACCATCGTTTCCAAAAATCATGAGGGACAGCCATCGAAGACTCAAACGACTCGATGCAGCTGGATAAAAGTTTCCACACATGATGCGCAGAGGATTGCTTTCCGCTTTTGGGTTTGCTTTCAGAACGCCAGTGAGACCCACTGAAACATGGCATGTTGTTGGAGCTTCAACCACGAATCTACAAGTTTCAATAGTGGTCGACTGAAAGCGTACAGCCAGGATCAAATGGGAAATGTTTGTGTGCCTCAGCAGAGGCACGAAGCTCCCCGTCATCACGCCCTAGATAGCTGTTACTCAAATCCAAACCAAGTGACGCATCATGGAAGAGAATAAGCATAAGCTCACTGCTCCAAGACCTGTCTGTCGTCTCGGAGCTCAAGTCGTCCCAGAAACTGAGCTCTCGGCATCCTCCTCCCGTTTCCGCTCCTTTTTTACTTTTCATGGCGCACTACCTCGGGGGTCGGGCAGCGACCAACCGAAATCATTGAGCGGGAATCAAGCGACTTGCATCTAAAAAGTGAGCAATGAGAATTCAGGACACACGGGATTGCATGTACACGACGTGAAGGATGCGTCCACGGGCCTCGAAATGACAAGCCTTCGCAAGAATGCAAGCACCGCAGAAAGCCGCCTCGGAATTGCAGGTCGCTGCTTCATCAAGCAGCGGAGACGATGAGCGTTGCCAAATCAAGCTCCGCAGGAGAAAAGGGAATGACCAGAAAGGAAGAAACAGCACCGACTTCTCCTACCGGCGAGCTCATCCTTCCAGTAGCATAAGGACAACCGACAAATGCACGCAGAGCTAGAAGAATAGTCCTTAAGAACGACACAGCTTTGAAGGCATCTGATCGGTCAGGAGAGGGAAAAGTGGCGCTGCTTTTATAAAAGCATCGCAGTGCCCCCATCATACCGACGAGTATCAGGCACTGGCTTGCGGACTTCGACGAGAACGCATTCTGGACAAGCAGAATCAGTCGGAGTTCATCCCACTATCGATTCGAGGACACATTAACAAGAGAAAGAAACAGGCTTCCGGCGATTCACAGCCGCGCGCAGGTTTTGCCACCATACGTATTCGCTCTTCGTCAGAATCACAATCCACAAGACCAGCTCTTTCTCGGTTCTGTCGGATCAGGAGCGTCACACTACATAAGTCCTTGTTGTTAAGGACAGACGTGCGTTCCATCACATCCTTGGATCTGACAAGATGGCCGTTTGCCGACGCGTCTTACGATGTTGTCCGAGATCTGGTCCGAATTTGGCAGAGCTGTTTGTCCAGAGCTTTCACCACAGATGGATCGCATGGTTCCGGATAAAACATAGGGTTTCTGGCGCTTGTGGCACTTTTTGGAAGCAGCAAGAGTTATCCAGGTCACAATCGGACCCACGTTTCAAGCAGTGCAATTTCCGTTAGTACAACGTTCAGCAAACAGTACTTAAGGCACGCACTTCCAGGAGCCGTGAGAGCTAGATAATGGTGTCAGAACGAGATCGGAGTCAACGAGATCCGAATGTCTCGCTTAAGTCTGAAGCGGTCCTCCTCACAGGTTGGTCGCCGCTGTGGAATATGCTCTCGGGCGCTGCTTTGATCCGTGCATCTCTATGCAGCAGCTCGTTCGCAATTTCTAAAATGATGCATTTCAGATCGCAATGACTCAGCATTGTCCGTCTCGACGACTCCAAGCTCGTGCCCCTCACCTGTTGGTCGCCGCAATGAGGTAGACCCCCTTCCGTTGCTCCAGGCCGTCCATCTCCGTCAGCAGCTGGTTCACAACGCGCTCCGCGGCCGCGTTCCCGTCGCTCCCGCCGCGCTTCGGCGCGAGCGCGTCCATCTCGTCAAAGAAGAGGATGCACGGGAAGCTGTCGCGCGCGCGCGTGAAGATCTGCCGCACCGCGCGCTCGCTCTCGCCCACGTACTTGTTCAGCAGCTCGGGACCCTGCGCGAGAAGAGGGTGGGTCAGCAGTGAGACCGAAGATGCATAGAAGACAAGCCAATCCCCTTCTTTTGAAGGGCATCTGAGAAGCCTTGACTCTGCTGGACCGCTCGCTCGCTCTCGCCCACGTACTGGATCAGCAGCTCGGGCCCACACGCAACGGGAGTGACGTCAGCAAAGAATGCTGCCTATGAGGGCTTGAAAAGAGCGAGATGACGTCAGCAAACAAGAAGAAACCGCTGCTCGCCTCTCGCCCAGGTACTTTCGGGGCCATGCCGGAGTTTACTCTTTCCTGACTTCAGCGAAAAAATAGGCAAAGCGTAACACTTCAGAGGAGCCTTGTACGATGAGAGTTGGTGACAGCAACGGACAGAAAGATCGCCTAAGAACCAGGAGACGTCAAAGACGAGAGGCCATGCGGGTTCTGTCCTTGGCACCCTCGCTTCAGCAAATTAGGCACTGGGGAGAAGTAAGTGAATCAGCGGGGCTTGAAAACTTCATTGAAGCAGGCCAACGCAAAGGAGAATTGGCACGTCTCAAGTGCTTACGGATCCAGTTAAGAGACCAGCAGCCAGCGAAACGGAAGGTCCTGACATCGACATCGACTCGCCTTCAGATCCAGCGCCGCAACTGAGGAGCGGCTTGAACAAACTCAAGCCTAAACTCATAGACGCAGTAAAAGCAGAGTTCCCATGGCTACCACGACCAGGTTGACTGGCTGACTGCTCCATACCTTGATGGAGATAAAATTTGCCCCCGCATCGTTCGCGATGGCCTTGGCAACCAGCGTCTTCCCGCACCCTGGTGGGCCATACAGCAGGACACCTGTCGCTAGTGGAAGCCCCATAGCCTGCAGAAGCGGACACAATGCGCGAACGAATTGCTCGCAAAAAAACCCGAGAGGGGCGGATAACAGAGGAGCTTACAAAGCAAGGGAGGCCTCTGAGGCGAAAGGTCCTTCCCATTCCCATACCAATTCTTTGGTGGTCGGATTCTTCACGACGAGGAACGCACTCGGAGCACTGGGTTCACAGGTTTCGCAATGGCAGCGTGTGCATGCAAAAGAGAACCTAAAGCTGTCATATCCTTGAAAGACAGAACGCCATTTCATGTCATATTACCAGACTGACGTCTCACCTGGAACTGCTCGGGGCACTTGATGGGCAGCGCGACCGCGTACTCGAGCTCCTCCTTGATCTCGTCCAGCGAGCCGACGTCAGCCCACGTCACGTCCGGGATGGTCGCGAACCCCTCCCGCTTGGAGGACGGCTGCACCCGCGGAATGGCGGCCTCGAAGTCGGGCATCGTTATGCTCAGGGTCGCCAGCTGCGCCGGTGTGAACGGGGACAGCCAATCGGAGCGCTCGTGGAGCGGGAGAAAAGTTGCGGTTTCAGGGGGCACATCGGCGGGCGTTGTTGTTTGGGAAATGGTTGGAGGGTGGGGTTGGAGCGGAACTAGAGAGGGTTGCGGAAATGGCTGGGATGGAAGGGCGGCGTCTTCTATCTGCATGCTGGTAGGTTGTGAGAGATTGTTCGGTTCTTGGGACCTGGTGCTTGGGACGGAGACTGAAGCATCGGCCAGGATTCCTGCGTTTCCTTCGGAGATGGCGGGTTTCGTTTCCGCAACCCCTAGAGACTCCGCCTGACCAGCACCCGCTAAGTCGGCCTCTCGAACTTCTAGCGTTCCCTCGTTTGCAGGCGCTCCCGTCCCTTCCGCTCCTCCGACTTCCAGACCTTCTCCTTTCACTATTTCCTCCCCCTTGGCTGACGTCATTTCCCCGTCTACACCGTCACTCTGCTCTTGGCCCAGCCCAGCGAAGATCCGTTTCACAGCCACCGCCGCCGCCTCCGTCGTCAGCGCCTGCAGATCAGCCCCCACAAACCCGGGCGTCTTCTTCGCAATCTTCTTGAAGTCGAAGTCTCCCTGAAGCCGCAGTTTCCCCGCGATCACTTTTATAATCCTCACGCGCGCTTCCTCATCCGGAATCCCCAGGCCGATCTCCCGGTCAAAACGGCCGGCTCGCCTGAGTGCCGGGTCGAGCGAGTCCGGCCGGTTGGTTGCCCCGATCACGATCACGTGGCCCTTCCTGGGGGTATCGGACGGCTCGGAAGCGGGCTCCCCGGGATCGGACGGCGGAGAGGTGTCGGGGGATGCGTGCGGCTCGTTGAGGGCGTCCATGCAGGTCAGAAGCTGAGCCACAATTCGCCGCTCCATCTCCCTCTGCAAACCGAGCAAAGCACTCTGTTAATTCCTTCAAAAACGGCCGGAGTTCTGCCGAGTCGATGAAGGATAAACTTGGAGACTTGGAGACTGGTTGAAGACGCACTTGGTCGACAATGATTCGGGCAGATTGCTGCACGAGTCACTAATTAGAGGAAGATGAGGTGTAAAGCGACAGTCCAAACCCGGCAGACTGTCTTCTCGACTGATGATCCGAGTAGATGCGATTGGCGCCTTAGCTACGTCGGCTTGTCGAAGCAACGAACATCGATCCAACCCGATGATCCATCTTCCACAGCTTATCACTCGATTTACTCGTCCCGAGAAGAAGCTGGCAAGTAAATCACCTGAGCCGTTTCCCGTTTCGGCGTGATTGCATCGATCTCATCGATGAAAATCAGCGCAGGCGCCATCCGCTCCGCGTCCTGGAACAGCGTCCGAATCTTCGCCTCGGACTCGCCCGACATTCCGGACACTACCTCGGGCGCGGAGATGCTCAGAAACCGGACGCCGGTCTCGTTGGCAATTGCGTGCGCAAGCATGGTTTTGCCGCAACCGGGGGGGCCGTGAAGCAGGACGCCACGGGGGGGTTGCACCCGAAGGTGGTCGTAGACTTCGGGGTGGGCTAAAGGGTACCTGAAATTCAGAACCGGGTAGATGTTAGACCTGAGGGACGAAATTCCGAAGTCCCTGGAAATTTGATGGCGGCTTGAAGGATGCGCAATACATTGGAAGAGGAAGACACCTCAGAAAAAAAGTGAGTTCTTTAACTTTCGAGGTGGATCAGAAGCGGTCATCGTGATGAGTTACGCTCTTCTTACCGGACTACTCGGAGGCTCTAGTGAAGCCGGCAAAACCAACGTTGTGACCCTGTACGGACTTTCGTCGAGAATTCAACTGCCATTCTCGTTGGGAGAAAACGCTGGGCGAAAAGCCTGTGACAGGAAAGATTGGCTGGAAGTAAAAGGACGTGATCTGTCGTACTGGCCCTGAAGCAGAAATACGGCGAGGCAGCTTTCTTGGGACTCACATTCTGGTCCTGGTAGGGCCAATTCATGTGTCATCACTGCCGCCCTTCGCAATCAACCTTTGGCTCTCTTCAGCAGAATGGTCTTAGGAAAGGCTCTGACCGATAAATAAACTCTGGTATTTTGTCACAAAGCACACGTGTGGTGGCCTGTTCTTTGTCATCCAGCAGAGTGAAAATCGGTGTGCTGTCTCTGGCTCTGTATCTTTGAATTGCCTGACTGGCCTCCTGAGGCCATGTAAGGCGTCACCATTGCCAGTGTGCCTATCTCAGCAGAACTATGGAATGCTTGAAAGGGCATGTAAAGTCCAGTGGAAGTAGATTCAAGTCACAACAAACGCGTGCAAACTGGCCATGAGTATGTCGACATGATCACATGTCCTTAAACACAATGCAAGCCAGTCCTTTACTTGCGAGAAGGCTCCGCCTCCACTTGCCAAGCAGACAAGGAGGTGCTCATAACAAAGAAGGCCAGACCCTCCGCCCCCAGGCGGAAAGAGATTCACAATGTCGTCGTTTACGTCGTCGGATCAACCAATACAGGTGACCAGAAAGATGACATTGGTTTGCTACACTTCATAACATCCCTCACATCAAGACCAGTCTCGAGTTTTGGGTCCAGGTTTTTAAGTGCACCTTGTGGTTGAAACGAGCTTTCGCGTCTGGGCAATGGAGACGGCCATCGCATGAAACGAAGTACGATAACTCGAGCATGACGAGACAAGCACTGGCAAAGACAAACGCCTTTTAATGGCTCCATGCTTACGAAAACCGTCCTTCCAACCAGATATACAACCACCTTTGGCCACAATGACAGAAGAAACTGTCCAAATGTCAATACAGTTGCTTAGCTCGAAGAGGTCCAAGTTCGGGCACTTGCGTTTGGAGCCATCGTGCGAGTCTGTCATTGTCAATACTACCTGATGCATACCGTGCAGCTCTCAAGCATTTCTGCGCACTTCTAATTCCAAGGGATCAGCCTAGCACGCCGAGTTTTACAGTGGGCATCAGTGCTCATACTGCAATCAACTGGCCTTGCAGAAGACCAGTCTTCCGATAATGATCACACCCACAGCTTCGCCCTCGTTTGAATCGATTATCAATGCCCTACACCATTGGGGATAAGCACGAGCGCTTCTGTACAGGATTCCGCAGGCGAGAGCACAGCTCTCGAAGGTGCTCAGAGTTCCAGGCTACCTTTGATTGATTGAAATGCTCGAGCCGTTCCTCCACAATCCACAAAATTCGAACAACGACGGAGCTCGAGATGCACTAAATGATAGTAAAGGAAGACCCAGAAGAGCCCACTCTTCATTACGACCCAGGATCCCATGCCGTACAGGTTTCAAGCTGGAAAAGACACGCAACAGACCAAAGAAGGCAAGAGAGACGTGGAAGCACTTACAGAATCAGCTCCCGTATCGCGTCCAGCGTCCCCTCAATGCCCCCCAGGTCCTTGAACCACACGCATTTTGGTTGCGATGCCCCCAGCGGCGCCTCCCCCTCCTCCCCTGCCGGCCGTGCCTCCCCCAAATTGGTCCCACCTCTGGCCCCTGCCTGTGAAGCCCCTCTAACGAACTTTCTGCCCCTCCTCAGGTTGCTTCCATTTGGAGTCTTTTGCGCACTCCCGCGAGCGCCAGGTGGCAGCCTCTGATTACCCGCAGCCGGCCGATGCCCGTTTTCGACCAGGTTTGGTAAACCGCCTGCGTCATTTTGCTGGCCCGCTGCTGGTCTTCCCAAACCTCCCCCCCCTGGCATCTCAGCAGAGACCCCGGCCGAATCTAGGTTATGCAAACCCTCACTAACCCCGTTTTCTGAACCTCCCCTCGCTCCTGCACTTGCATCCGTCCCTGCCCCAACAACATCTTTCTCGTCCCTCTTTCTCTTTCCCCCCGCTTTACTGACATTCCCTACGGCCCGCTCATTCACACCCCTGCCGCTCGTCTCTGCTGGAGGCGCCGACCTATTCGCACCCTCTTCCTGCTCTGTGGCCCCCTCTCTTTGCACTCCGCTTTGCCCCCCCGTTCCATCTTCGGCACCCTCTCTCGGCGAATCATAAAACCCCCTGAGAGAGGAGTTCAGGTGATTGTGGCCTTGCCTTTCCTCCTCCCAGCCCTCAAAGGCAAGCTCCTTTTCGTCCGAGTCTGAGCCCTCGCTTCCGTCTGAACCCTCAGCATCTTCGCTGTCCTCGTCGCTGACATCATCGCTCCCAGGCCCACCGGAAGCACGAGAGACGTGCCTTCGCTCAAGCCTGAGAAAAGAGCTGGTGCCATGAGTGACTCATGACAGACTCCTCTAAGTGAGCCTGAAACCACTGAAAAGAAAGTACTTACAGATGGTGCCCCTTTTCCTGAACCGCGTGGCCAACCGTACAATGAACAGTCCTTTGTACCATGGGCCTCAATCGACCCCTCAAATGTCTTCAACAAAAAGGACGGGATTGGGGCCAAGAACAAAGCAGAAAAATGATCCTTAAATATGAGGACTTTGACATCGCAATGCTGGAACCATATGCCATAATGAGTCTGCCCTAGGTCAATTGCTTGTATAAAGTGACTTGTATTAACCAACAGTGATGCACTGTGGCTCCAACTCCCAAAACATCTTGACCTCACCAACCACAGCGTTCGAGAAAACAGAAATCGCTTGAGCAATGCCTTGTTGCACACAAGCTGGAACCTTCTGTCACACCACCTGTGCAATCTAGTTGAAGAAGGCTCAACCAAAAAATGCTTCATAGCCCGTCGCGAAGCTGCATCGCAATCAACCAAGAAACATACGGTGCCTCGAAACGTCTCATGCACAAAGTTTAACCGATATCTCTCAGGGTGCTCAGCAATCTGCCGAATACCTACTTCTACAAACGAACAGGATGGAGATGGGAAATTGGCGCTTCTCATCAAGTGTGTGTTACAACATTCAATTGCAAGTTTTCCTGTCTTATTGCACCACAATTAAGACTGCGCTCACCCCAGGTTCAGATCAGTCTTTCAATCTGAAAAGTCTGTTATCATCCATCTTGCCGAATACTTCCTTTAAAAATATTTGATGAAAATGACTTACTTCAACTTTGACAGCAAACCCTAAACTTGAAACTTTATACCACCACCACAAGATTGACAGCAAACCCTAACACTAAAACTTTACACCACAACCACAGGTGCAGGTAAGATTTTCAATTAAAGAACACCCGATGACTGGCAAAATGCACTGCAGCAAAATTCAAGCCAGCGGCTGAAATTTAAGTCAAACCGCAGGACAATTGGTCCACTTTTAATCAAACGAGAGTTGAATCCATCACCAGCCATGAATCACCATTCACCTGCGGAGGTTTCGCTCCTGCTGCTCTGCCTCAGACGCCCGCCGCCTCACCACCGTTACCGCTTTTGCCACCATCTTCCGAAAGGGACCGAGCTTCTGCCGCTGATACTCCCTGTTGGTCGCCCGCAAATGATTTGTGACTTCATCCAGATCGTTGATATCATTGGTGAGTGAGTACTGCTCTAACCTTGGCACAAGAGAGTGGTCAAGTACATACTCTCCTGGGGGTCCCCGGCGGGGTGGCCGGGCGGGCCGCCCGCCGCCGCGACCTCGATGGAACCGCATCTCTAGGAGCTGCACTTACGGCGCACGAGGTTGCCTTTACAAGGTGATCAGTCAGGGACTTTCTAGCCCAACACAGGTAGCCAGACCTGGAACAACTTGCAACCCGTGCTCAGAACCCCCAAGCTGCCTCTTGGGGCTAAGGGGGGCCTCTGCCGTCTCTGCCCCTCTTTCTCAGACATGCCATGGCGCAGGCAGCGCCGAGCTGCATTGAATTGCATTGAATTGCATGGGGCCCAGCCGACTGGCCTACTCGAAAGAGTTTGTGCATGGAGGCACATGGAGGGCCAGGCCAAGATTCGGAATCTTGACACCAGCGAAGCCAGTTCGATCTTCGGCGTTCGCCAATCATAGACTGGTGTTAAGAGCTCTGCAGCAGGGAATCGCTGCATTCGCTGCATGATATGTACATATGTACGTAGCTTTCAAGTTTCAGGAGATGGTTCACCTTGTTCAGTGTTCACCTTGAAGGGCGAGAGACGAGGTGCAGGAAGTGAGGGGCGGCTTCCTGTAGATACGGTTTCCTGTTCATATCATTGCACGCCAGAAAACCTCGAAGCAAGCAGTAGCTGCGGCTTGCAGTGCGATTGTGATTTGATCTGCTTCCACCATTCTTTAGCCAGTTGTGGGCCAATGAGCATTGTTCTGTTGATGGGCTTTGGATCCCGTAGTGAGTGCTGCCACATTTGATTGGTGCTGCTGAGTAATCCTATGTGCAAGGCAGCGGACAGAGGAGCAGTGAAATTCTGCGGGCAAAGTGCAGCTCCGCTTGGGCTGTGACTTGTCTCAACAAGAAATTCAGAAAAGCTCTTCACAATGGCTGGCTTTTTTAAGCGATTCAAGGATTTCTTCAGCAAGCCGGCTCAAGAAGATGAAAGGGAAGATGCAGAGGAAGATTCCAGTGGCCCTTCCATTGGATTTGGCGGAGGTGTCAGGCAAGGATTTAGCGTGAAGAGGGCAGTTCCTGCAAAAGGAGGGCAGCAGCCCGTGGTGCAGGGGGTGTTGACAGATGGGGGGATTCAGGTAAGCAGATTATGCTGGCAAACCCTAAATCAGAAGAATCGAAGGTTTTCACTGATGAGAGCATATGATGTGGAGGTGCATAAGGACTGAGAAAGCAGGAAACGATACACACTTGGACAAATGATCGAGGGAAACCCATCTTGGCGGGTTTGAGTGCCCAGGTACTTTTTAAGGGACACAATTGTAGAGAGAAGTCGGTTTTATACAAAGTACTTTTTCATCTTCGGCAGTCATGCCGGAATTTCCTAAATGTTGTTCAGACTTTCCAGAAAGTCACCAATATACTCAAATTGACGTGAGAGGTTTGACAAACATTTGAGTTGTTCTTGTCGCAGTGCTACAATCCAACATGTCTGTTGGTCTTGTTTGTCGCCCTTGCTTGCCAAGAAAATGCTGCAATCAATTGTAGAAGATGATTTGTTAGCAATGGTCTGTCTAGCAGATCAGCTGCACTTGCACCACGGAAGCTCGTGAACTAACTTTTCCTACATGGGTGTGGAGTACCTGACTTGTATTGCCCCCTGATTGTTTCCATTGCTTTTGAGCGGTTTCTTTCTGTTCTCATGTACATCCATAATTGGTCCAAGTTTTCCAGGAGTATAGAGAAAGGAGAAGACACAACATTGGAGGAGGTGCACGTTTCATTGAGTTACTTACTAAGCCTCACGAATCTGCTCAAGTTGATTGTTCAATCTCAACCAGAGAAACATTTTGCAGGGACTGAATTGGTATGCGCAACTTTTACGGCAAGATGAAGATGGAGATATTGCACACGAATTCTTACGAGAGACGGCGCCAAGGGTTAGTCGGAGGGGAAATCTTATCATACCTTCACTGGAAATTGTACAAAAACTGTCACCAGTGACAGGTAGATGGAAGATTGACATCAAAGATGGTAATATCTTTGAGATCCTAGAATCAGCGTGGCCACGAGATCGGAGGAGGAGTTGACAAGTCTATCATGGCCAAGCATCGCAGCTTTCTGAGGAGAGCAAAGCGATATCAAGAGTTTCACCCCGCCGAGAAGTGCGTGTCAAAAGGCGAGCATACGTACGTTGAGGTTTATATCTTGTGTATACGGCTAGTTGACCATGCCCTGAAGAAGTACCTTCTATGATATGTCGAGGTGGTAGCGGCCTGAGCTTCATCATGGCGGCCAACAATTACATGCTTTGGACGCCTTCGGTCCATCATCCGAACAACTTGAACAATTCCGGTGACAGTAGTTACAATCCCGTTAGCCGTCTCAGTCTCTGCTCATTGATATGACAGACGTTATCCAAATCAGCATGACTAGTGCGAACTTCCTTTCCGAATGTGAATCATTTAGGCCAACATCTGATCTCATGCGCGTTCGCGCACATGTGTAGGGAAATCAATCACTCGTCTGTAAATAGCTTTGCCTGTCATAGAATGCAACGGACCGCTCGAAGCTAGCAAAATTGTCCTGCATGCTGTCGTCAGTTATATGCATTCAGCAATGCTAGGCACTTGCATGTACCCCGTTCAGGCTTATTTAGTTTCACAGAGAATCCACCACCGTCAACGTTGCTGAATTCCTAATTCGGAGAAGCAACTATGCTGGAAACTGGCAATTATGCGGGGATACTGGCGAATGTTCTCCAGCGACTTCTCAGGATAGCGCGAAACTGGACATGGCATACGCGTCGAGCCAAGCACCCCGTTTGTTAATAAGGTTTCAAATCGAAGCTAACCAGCAAGCATCCAGCAAATGATTTCGGCAACAGGAATGCGCGATTATTTCGACAAGGGAGCTTTTGGCAACAGCCACAAAAACTGTCTGATTCATATGTTTCAGGCTATTCCTTTGAGTTTGCTAGTTTGCTAACCATCGGAGCCCAGTTTCGGGCAAGAGATGTCAGACGTTCGGTTGCCACTTTGACATTTAATTGATTTCAGTGGGATCTGTGGCCTTCGCCGCTGTTAGAGGGTAAGCAAACGGGACAATTCCTTCACCTTATCCCCCAAGATTCTAAGCCCCATTACAACACTCCTCTCGTCCGTCTGATTGTCACCATTGTACGTCTTGAGGAGGCACGGGATGCACAGTGGAGACGGAACGTTGTCCTTATTCTTGGATCGAGCCGAGGAGCTTCTTTCTTGGGGAAGCTCCGATTCTTGCGGCTCCTCCTGCCAGAAGTCAGTTTTGAAGGTTCGCTTCGTTTCGCTTTGGCTAAATCCGAAATAAAGGTATCATAAGATCGATCTGCTATAGACGTCCCGCATCCCAACCTTGCCGGTGATTCAGGTGAAAGTCCATTCCGTTTAAATTAAGGGCACGTTAAGGGCACGTTAAGAAGAGGGTATCAATGGCCAAAACTCAACTGAGATACTGGAAGATCCCCTGAAAAGATACAGGGACTGCTTCTTCTCAGGTTGTGAACGGGCAGCCATCTCTAACAAAGCATGCAAGGTGGACGTACTAAAAGGTTACTACAAGAAAGCGGTTGCACTTGCTTCGAGACTGTTGTTCTGCAGAAGTATCCAACAGCGTCTTTCAAGAGGCGCATTCTTTTCCAACGTTACTGACATGAGCTTGCAAATCAGGACCCACTAACCATCACATGACCGCTCTCGATGATATTCTCTGAAGCACTTTTGACGATCAGAGTGCATGAGCCAGCTGATCTTACATCTAGGCAGCTGGTGCAGATCGCCTGAAAGTCCTTGCTTCGAAACTCGTCCAGCGTCATCTCTTCGTACTTGCAGGGGCAGAGAGTGTTGAAGAATCGGCAGCGGTCACAGACTGGCTTTTCGCAGTAGACGCATGGCTCATGCCGCGACGCATCGCATTGGGGGCATACTTGAGCCCCACACTCTCCGCACGTAAGAGGCCTGTAGGGAACAAGGGGAGGGTGATCTAAGTTGGTGGAAAACACAGGTCGAAACTCCAGCTTATCTCCTCTGAGCCGGCTGCTGGACCAGACGAAGAGCAACTCTGCTTTCAAAGGTTGACTCCAAGTATGCCACCGCAGCCAAGGCTTGAGTAAGAATGTACAAATCGTAATTTCCAATCAAGCACGGACCACTTCTCTCCGCGTCGGTGACTTGAATTCTTGACCGGTGACGGTCGAACCAGACGTTATCAGATGAAAGGGAAACAGAAATCTTTGCTGTGAAACGAAGAATTGATTAGGAGGAGGTCCAAAGGTAACCCTTTCTTTACCAATCAAGCATTGTCAGCAAATTTGAGAGACACTCGACTCGTCGCAATTGCAACAAATTGTGAGGCCGGTCTCTCATCTCAAATACGACAGAGAGCGTTCCTTTGGTCGTCGGACTCATGCCTTTGAGAACGCTGCGCAGGCTTGGAGCCTGGGCATAGTCCCATGCTGACCAGTTTCGTGCCCGGTTCACGTCCCCACTTCGCCAATTGAGAGCATTCATTGGAATCAGTAGTAGAAAGGACACATACTGCCAAGAGTCGGTTCCTCAGAGCTTATATTGAACTAGAGACGTAAAGCACAGCTGTTGGGCTGGGGGTACTTACAGTTTGTTGCTGCAGTCTTGGCACAGCCCATGGAAGCAAGGAGGACCTTGCCCATCAAAATGCTCTTCGCAGCCTACCCCCTGGCAGGCGCCACACAGCTTCTGCATAAATGAGATAAAACTTCTAATTGTTGGGGGACTCCATGTTGGGGACAGGTTAGAAACCCGATGATTAGGGCCCACAGAAAGAAGGTGAAGTGCCACACAACCACCCGACTTATGGTTCTTGCGCATCTGGCATGGCATACGTTGTCCTACTAAACATTCAAAGACCATTTCCCCAGGGCCAGGAAAGAATTAATCATTAGTAACTTGTGGAGTACATTAAGAATAAAGAAAGAACACTGGTTTGGGTTTTGATGCCCATAAGTTAGCAGAGAGGATTGGCTTTTCCTTCTACGGAAATGCCTAGTTTGGATTTCGTTCGTGTCGCTCCATACTTGATGATGATTAGGAAGATCAGCTGCAAAGCTTAACATGCGCTCCAACGGCCAGAATTTATTAGGGCATATACCTAATCTGACTCTTATCAGCTTGATTGGAACGGAGCTGAAATTCTGTGAAGCTCACATAGCATGCCCCAAATAAGTCAAAGCCATCCACGTTGTTTACTCACCGTCTTCCACCAACAAACCCCTTCGGGCCCGAGCACCTCTTGGCAAAAACTGCACTCATGCGTCTCCTCCACCATATGGCACGAAGGGCAGATGCTTGCATCGTCGAGGTCATCTTGGAGGGGCGTGTTCTCAAAGCACTCTTTGAACAGATCCAGAGGACACTCCAGCCATTCGACACCATTTAGGTGCAGAACATAGTGGGGCAAAACACCTGTAGCAGGGTCAGAGTGCCTGTCAGTAGGGGGAAACGCAAAGCAAGGAGCGGCGTGGTTGTTCGATTGAATTCCACTCAGATGTCTTCTTCTGGCTAAATCTTGGTCCAGCGCTCCTGATTTTGCCAGATTGCAGTGCAATCGACAAGGAAGAGAGTCGGTAAGTGTGGGTGAAGGAAGAGGTTCCATTGCTGAGAGTGCGGGTGAAGGAACTGGGCACCGCAGTGGTTCCTGGACTTCCTCACAAACAAAGACTCAAGTCACATGGTGGCTGCGGACTGTAGAGGGCGCTGATCAGATGCTGAATACAAGGCCGCACTTGTTGAAGTCGGTGACACCCAGCTAATTACAACATGTTGACTACAAAGTGAAAGCAAAGCAAACTGAGGCACGATTAGACATGGTTTGCTGGAGACAATTGGTCAAGAGCTTACCACCACAAGTCGCGCCTGCTTTCTTCGTCCGAAGTAGCTTGAGCATGTGTTGGGCCAGTGGAATGACACTTCTCCATGTGAAAGGCCCACACTCGCTGATATTCACAAATTCTGGAACGTCCTTCAAACTTGACACAATATTGTGAACAGAGTGATCAGTCAAAAGCCGGCAACATGAGATGTCAATGCTGACCAGGCCCTGACCGTTCAGGTTGTCCAGAACAGTTGCTAATTTCTCATCCGTGATCTTTGTCTTCAGGCCCTGAGGAATGCAGATTTCTGTCCACAGACTGGGGTCTGTTGTCGCAGCTTCCTTCCATTCGCGTGAAACACAGCAGACTGTCAAAAGTGTGCGCAGGTCTTTTGCAAAGTAGGGCAACAAACAGGACAGTGCTGGGCTTGGGAACTCAAAATCTGCTTTCAGTTGTTTGTTGACTTCCATTTTGTATTGCACAAGAACACTTCGCGCACAGCTCCCCGGCAACTTTTAGATACACAGCAGCCTTTGGCCTGGGGCTTTGCGCACTTTCTCTTGCAATAGCCTTCTTATGGCTGCAGCAACTTGGTCACGCACTCGCATAGCTGCTTGGGACGTTTTTATGAAGCGGCCACACGGCAAAACCCAATGGCAAAGGCAAACGTGGGCGTCCTTCTCCGCTGATTTGACTCTTGAGGGGAGTACCTAGGTATTAGACATCCAAAACGCAGGCCACCAATCAGCGAGCAATCAGCCAGTACTGACCTGCTCACCTGCTCCTTCGCTAGCACAGACACCACTGGCTGCAGGACCCACCTGCTCACTCCGAGTCCGAGTACGAGTCAGGCTTTTGTCATTGATCTTTTTGAGAAACTGGCGCGAATGCAAAGTAATCATTGCCGTCCGATGTGATCTGTTGTCTTCGATCTTGACCAGTGCCAGTTGGCAGACGTAAAATCGTCGGATACCATATCCATTCGACGGCCAAAAGCTAATCGAATATCCTCACTCCAATACTAGCCTGACGATCGCGTCAACATTCTAGTTTGAAAGCTGTGCATATCATCGTTCAGGCTTGCACGGGTGGCCAAGCACACCCGAGTGAGACAGGGCCGGGGGCGGCAGCTTGGCTGTCTGCGGCTCCTTTGTTTCAGGCACTGACGATTGAGGACGAGTGCTTCCGGACGGCTTTGCGGATTTGGCTTGGTTTGCCGCATCCGATGGTGGCGGGCATTGCGTTGTGCGAGTGCGGGCAGTCAC